AGGGATGGGGCAGGGGAAAAGCTGAGAGGCAGGTGGCAGAGGCTGGGGAGGTCTCCACTTGAGGATATATGTCCAAGCCTCAAGGCCCAAGGGAACAGACAGGGACAGAGAGCAGATCGACCTCTGCAGAGGACCAGCCCACCATCATGATAGAGGGCCAGGGTTGGGCAGGATGGCAGCCTCTCCCCACCCCTTCTCCTACAGGGCTCACCCTTCACTCTGGCCCAGGATGGAGGCCCTTAAGGTGAAGCTCAGATTTAAACATGCATTGGGGCAAAATAAAGGATAATGGGCTTTAATTACTGCTCATTAATCAATTAATTAAGCTAATGTATGCAATAAGTGGCATCAGTTATCAGAACAAATCAGTTAATACAGGCAATGAAAGGGGTTGGTTATTTAAATAATTAATGCTGATGATTAATGGGACTGATTAAGCTCAATTGTCACTATTATTTATTAATTGATTTCACCACTAATACAGCAGGAGAAGGCTCTTTTAGGTTCATAAAATGAGGAATAAATACATTAATTAGTGAGCTGAGTTTTACAAATGGATGTTTTGATTCCTGGATTTGATCATTACAATGAGAGGGAGAGTATTCTAGAAATCTCCAGGCAAATGAGCTCTGAAGGCTGAGTAGGAATGACCCCAGCCAAAAAGGAGAGAGGATATCCCAGGCAGAGGGAACATCACATGCAAAGGCCCTGAGGCTGCAGGGAACAGAGCTCTTCGGAGGAGGGTTGAGGAGGCTAGAGTCCAAGGAAGGGAGAGGAGACAGAAGAGATTTGACCAGCAGAGGCTGGGTCACAGATGGCCCAGCCAAGAGGACTAGACTTTGTGCTCAGGGCTTCAGGGGGCTGCTGTGACATTCATTCATTCAAAAAAAAAATATTTACTGGGTTCCTGATGATTCCTGACACTGTCTAGACCAAAACACAAACCCTTGTCTGTGTGGGGCTGATGTTCTAGTGAGAGGAGCTAGTCCCTGCATGAGAGGAAGTGCCTGCTGAGTCAGATGAGGAGTCAGAGCAAAATTAAGCAGGGAAGGGAGTGTGGGAGTTGGGGAAGGTTACACTTTCAGAAGGGGTGACCAGGGAAGGCCTTGCTGAGAAGGGGACGTTTTAGTGAAGAACAGAAGGAAGGGCTGGGCGTGGTGGCTCACACCTGTAATCCCAGCACTTTGGGAGGCTGAGGGGGAGGATTGCTTGAGCCAGGAGGTCCAGGCTACAGTGGGCCATGATCTCACTATGGCACGCCAGCCTAGGCGATAGAGTGAGACTCTGTTTCAAAAAAAAAAAAAAAAAAAGAATTGAAGGGCCAGGCATGGTGGCTCATGCCTGTAATCCCAGCACTTTGGGAAGCTGAGGCCAGTGAATCACATGAGGTTAGGAGTTCAAGACCAGCCTGGCCAACATGGCGAAACCCTGTCTCTGCTAAAAATACAAAAATTAGCCTAGCGTGGTGGTGGGTGCCTGTAATCCCAGCTACTTGAGAGGCTGAGGCAAAAAAATCACCCGGACCTGGAAGGTAGAGGTTGCAGTGAGCTGAGATCGCATCACTGCACTCCAGCCTGGGTGACAAAGTGAGACTCTTTCTTAGCAACAATAACAACAACGAAAGAGCAGGAGGGAGGGAACCCAGGGGATATCTGGAGGAAAAGTATCCCAGGCGGAGAGAAGAGAAAGTGCAAAGACCCTGAGGTGGGGTGGGGAGACGGAGCAGTGCCGGCGAGGAGGAGTGTGGTGGGCCGTGCGGTCAGACTGTGCAAGGACCTTAGCTCTTACTGTGAGTGAAGCTGGGGGCCACGCCAGTGGGTTGGAGCTGAGGAAAGCTGTGATCTGACTTTCATTTGAACAGCACTGCTGTGGTTGCAGTGGGGGGAGAATAGGTCTCAGGGGCACAGATGGAAGCAGGGAGGCCAGTGGAAGGTGGTGGCAATAGTCCAGGCAAGTGATGGCAGCAGATTATAACTGGACATGGTCACTGTGTCTTGGACATGTCAGGGTGTTGTAGCACCACAGGGTGAGGCCATGGGGTGGAAGAGTGGCCCCAGAGCCTCAGTTTCCCTGGCCTGGGCCTCTGCCCCAAGCAGCCCCATAGGCTCTGTACACCCTGATCTCTTGTGCAGGCACCCTGTCTCCAAGGCTCTGCCCCTGTCCCAGGGCATGAGGGGAAGTGGACAGGAAGCAGGAGGAAGCACTGGATTGATCCAGTGTCCCGGCCAATCTGTTCCCAGCAGCAGGAGGATTTCCGGGCCTGAATAGCAGGAAATGCTGGGATGGGACACCTCACCCGGGAAGAGTGGGCGGAGGTGTGTGGGGGAGGGGTCCCCACTCTACCTCACTCCCACTGCTGCTGGAGAGAGAGACCCTAACAGCCCAGTGGCAGTAGCTGGGCTGTAGCCTGAGGGACTGTGGTTAGATACCATCTAGGACTTTTTAGGAGAGAAGATTAGCAACAAGGAACCCTAGAATGTTAGAACAGGGAGGGCCATCAGACAGCTTCTCAAGGAGGAGCTTTTGGCCTCAGGATAGGGAGAACACGCAATTTTATTTTTTATCTCAGCTTTATTTTGCTGTAAATATTAGGCTCCTGTATTTAAGGAGGAGTTTCAATATTCCACCTCACCTCCCCATTTTGCAGATGGGAAGACTGAGGCCTTTCTTAGCCTGAGACCCTGAACCCAGCCTAACAAAATGAATGATGACGGCAATTAACAATTAACATTAGATATTTACTGTTCATGCATTCCTTTAAATAAATTTCTTTCTTTTTCTTTTTTGAAACAGTCTTACTCTGTCACCCAGGCTGGAGTGCAGTGGTGTGATCTTGGCTCACTGCAACCTCTTCTTCTTGGGTTCAAGTCATTCTCCTGCCTCAGTGTCCCAAGTAGCTGGGGTTACAGGTGTGCGCCGCCGCACCCAGCTAATTTTTCTTTAAGCAATGTTTCTTTTTTTTCGAGGCAGAGTTTTGCTCTTGTTGCCCAGGCTGGAGTGTAATGGCGTGATCTCGGCTCACTGCAACCTCCACCTCCCGAGTACAAGTGATTCCCCCACCTCAGCCTCCCGAGTAGTGGGATTACAGGCATGTGCCACCACACCTGTCTAAATTTTGTGTTTTTAGTAGACATGGGGTTTCACCATGTTGGTCAGGCTGGTCTTGAACTCCTGACCTCAGGTGATCTGCCTGCCTTGGCCTCCCAAAGTGCTGTAATTACAGGTGTGAGCCACCATGCCTGGCAAGCAATATTTCTTGAGCTCCTGCAGGCACTGTACTGGGGACTGGGGTCTCAATGGTGAATTAGATAAAGTCAACAGTTTCATAGGGCATCAGATAATTAAGTCAACAAATAAATATAAAGTGGCCATTTCAAGCAGAAATTGGAAAAATTGAAAATAAAGCAGGGTTGGGAACGCAGAGTGAAGGAACGAGGCACTATTCTAGGTGGGGTCATCAGGGAAGGCTCCTCCGAAGAGGTGACATTAAGCAAAGCCCTGAATAAAGAGGAAGGAGGGACAAGCTTCACGAAGCCCTGGGGGAAGAGCATTCCAGGCAGAGAGGGAACAGCAGAGGCAAAGGCTCTGTAGCTGGAATGAGTTGGCAAGGAGGGTGGGGCAGAGGCAGAATGAGGAGCAGGATGTGTGAGGGAGACAGGTTGGAGGGTTGGCGGTGTGGCCATCGGGTACCACCAGGCCACATGGGGCCTTGTGGGTTGGGGACCAGATGGCTCAATTTATGCCTGTTTTTCTGGCTTAATCATGGTACCCTCTTTACTCTCACAAGGAAGAAAAGTTCTGGTTTAGATGCTAAATTGTACGGCCACAGAGAGGGGTTTAGATTTTGTTCTTCCAGAGATGGGAGCCGCTGAAGGGCTGAGGGTGGTGTGTTTGCCATGATCTGCTTGGGTTGTAAGCTTAGGAGCCTTCTGGCCTCGGGGCAGAAGCTGACTGTGGGTAACAGTGGACACGGAGCCTTCAGGAAGGCTGTTCTGCGCCCCCAGAGACACGAGGGTGGCCCCGCTGCGAGGACAGGGTGGACGTGAGGAAAAAAGTCAGGATGGATTGTGACAGCGGAGCAGGATTTCCTGGTGACCTGGATGTGGAGCTGAGTGGAAGAGAGGGGCACAAAGGACCGGGAGGTTTTCGGCCCGGTTGGCCGAAGCTGCAGGAAAGAGGAAGCTGACATCAGCTGAGACAGGGGAGATGGGGCGGGGCGGGGAGGAGCCGCAGTTCTGCTTTGGATATGACAAGTTGGAGATGTTGTCAGACATCCAAGGGCAGGCGTCCAGGAGGTAGCTGGGTTTCCGAATCTGGGGTTGGAGAGGCGGGTCTAGGCTGCGTGAGGGTAGGGGTGGCATTTAAGGCTGTGCAGTGGGAGGAGTGGTTCCTGGTGGCTCTCAGGAGGAAGGAAGGGAAAACAGCCCCCTCTGGCCTCTGGCCTCTCCAGGGTGTGCACCCTGGGGGCAGAATCAATTCCATAGCCCTCTAGCACTGGCAGTGGCTATGACTGGGTCACTCTGCCCTAGGAAGTAAACGTGGGGCGGGAAGACCGGGGCCCTCCAGTGTTTAGAGTTAGGGACGATGGGGGTGGGGTGGGAGGAGAGGGTGGGGAAGGCAGAAAGAAAAAGAAGAAAACCAGGGAAGCGTGGTGTCCGGAGCCCAGTGAAGAAAGTGGTTTGGGAAGTAGGCCCCATAATAAGTTTGTAGCATTCATTATGCCCTGAGCCCTCCAGTCAATGCCATTATGCAGATACCGTCATTATTCCTGATTTACGGATAGGAAACCCAGGTTCAAAGAGGTGAAGGGGCTTGCCCAGGGGTGCACAGCTGGAAAGTGGAGGAGCAGCCAGGCCAGCCGATAAGTGCCCCCTCCTGTCTTCAGGGTGAGCCTGCTGGGGTCCCAAGGACCAGGTGCTGGCTCCAGGCCGGCAGGCAAGAGACTGGCGACTGGGAGCCAAGCAGAACTGGGGCCACTCACTTGCCTTCTTTCCTTCCAGGGCTGCTGGAGAGCTGGAGGCTGGCGGAGACTACGTGAAGGTAGGAGGGGCAGGGCCAGGGGTTGGTCAGAGGACACTGTAGGTCTCAGAGCCTGTTCCATTACAGGTGGCAGAGCCCTTCCTCAAGTCTTGTTAGGAGCCCGACCTCACTGTGTATTCCCAGGAGGGGAGGTTCTCGGAGTCCAGGCAGCGTTTGGATCCAGTTTCATTCTCAGCCATTATTCTCTCCTGGCCCCAAACTCAGGGCATCCCAGTATTTGTTATCATCGGACCCCACCCACCAGCCAGCTGGACTGGGCCCTACCAGTGTCTCCATGAAAAGGATGCAGCCCACCAATCCCACCCAATCTTTGTGCACCTACTGTGTGCCGGCAGTGGGAGCAGGGAGCAGGATAGGATGACTCAGTTTTTTTATCACAGATAATGAGCACAGCTCAGATTTATCCAAAGCTTAATTTATCCTGGGCACTGGGAATGTTGAAAACGCAGTTTTGGCTGGGCGAAGTGACTCACGCCTGTAATCCCAGCACTTTGGGGTGCCAAGGTGGGTGGATCACTGGAGGTCAGGAGTTCAAGACCAGTCTGGCCAACATGGTGAAACCCTGTCTCACTAAAAATACAAAAAAATTAGCCAGGCATGGTGGTGTGTGCCTGTAATCCCAGCTACTCGGGAAGCTGAGGCAGGAGAATCGCTTGAACCCAGGAGGTGGAGGTTGCAGTGAGCCGAGATGGTGCCACTGCACTCCAGCCTGGGGTGGGGGGGAGAAAAGGCAGTTTTGAAATAAAAATGATAGTAATAATGATAATAAATAACATTTTGAGTACCTGCTGTGTGCACATCCTGTGCTGGCTGCTAGATGCTGGAGGAGAGCTGTTCTTTACATGAAAGGTCTTTGACCTTCTCCCTCATCACTGGCTAGGAAAAGCCTTCTTGTGCCCGTTTACAGATGGGAAACTGGAGGTACAGAGAAGTGCGGTGACTTGCCCTGGGTCACATTACTTTGAATAGTGAAAACTACAATTACTTTTGCAACAACCTAATATTACAAGGAAAAACTGGGATTACATCCCAAGTTTGATGCCAGTACCATACCCAAAGCCCTTGGCTTTCTATCCCCAGGAGCCTGACCCTGAGCCAAGCCCTGTGCTGAGTACTGAGAATAGGCAGAGGGCAAGGAGCACCAGGCCCTGAATTCAAAGGGCTTCCAGTCCACGTGGGACCCAGGGAAGAATCATACGGTGGTTTGTGCTTGTTTATTTGCAATCCATCAGATCCAACTTTTATTTTTATTACTCTTTTTTTAAGAGATGGGATCTTGCTCTGTCTCTCACTGAAGCCTTGAGCTCCTGGGCTCAAGGAATCCTCCTACCTTAGCCTCCCAACTCCCTGGGACTACAGGTGTGTGCCACTGGCTAACTAAAAAACAACTTTTTTAAAGATGGGGTCTCACTATGTTGCCCAGGCTGGTCTCAAATGCCTGGCCTCAAGTGATCCTCCTGCCTCAGCCTCTCAAAGTGCTGGGATTACAGGCATGAGCAACCACATCTAGCAGATCCAAATTTTAGTTCCATCAAAGCATGATGGGCTGGGTGTAGTGGCTCAGGCCAGGTTCAGTGGCTCACAACTGGCACAGTGGCTCACACCTGTAATCCCAGCACTTTGGGAGGCCACAGTTTGAGACCAGCCTGGCCAACATGGCAAAACCCTGTCTCTACTAAAAATACAAAAATTAGCCAGGAATGATGGCACATGCCTGTAATCCCAGCTACTGGGGAGGCTGAGGCAGGGGAATTGCTTGAACCCAGGAGGTAGAGGTTGCAGTGAGTTGAGATCGCACCACTGCACTTCAGCACTCCAGCCTAGGCAACTGAGAAAAAAAAAAGCATGACATAGGCTGATATAAAAAAACCCACAAAACAAAAAAAAACACTAAATTTTAGTCTGAGATCTGCCACTTACTTGCCACTGGCTTTGGGTGTGGGCATCACTTCTCTGAGCCTGTGTTTGCCTATATGAAGTAGGGGTAACAGTGGTGCCTCCAACCCAGGGTTGCTATGGGTTCAGTGAGCCCATTGTCATGAGTGGGGAGCTGGGTCTAGAACAGGGTGGGCTGGCCTGGCTTCTAACCCCAGGGACATTTCATCATCCCGAGATGCTACCTGCACAACTCTGTGTAAGTGACTAGTAATGGGGTAGCTTGGGAGGTGCTCAGATTGCTGCCCCCTCACCGTCACCAGAAGCTGTGGGACCTCCAGACATAGGGATGACTTTCAGCTGGGGAGCTGGGGAGCTGGAGATCAAGGAAAGCTTTCTGGAGGTGGAGGCACTGGAGTCAGGCCATTGTGGTTGACTGGGAACAGTCACTGAGATGACTCCATGAATGAAATGCTGGACAGGAGACAACGTTACGCAGAGACAGGTAGGAGAGTGGTCCTGGCAGAGGCAGGAGTGTGGACAAAGTCAGAAAGTAAACTGCGTGAGCCCAGAAACAGCCCAGGGCAGCCGCAAGTCGAGCAGAAATTCGAGTCCTTATGCCACCAGGGGAGGGAAGACATGGGAAAACTGACACCAAAGCCAGTGGCTGGAATGCAGGGGCCATATTTCAGCATCCTGCAGACCCCAGCTGCCCGGTAAGTAGTGAGATCCCTGTGAAGAATGTTAGGTTTATATTTTTTTCTTTAGTTTATTTTTAGGGGTTAAAAAAATGTAGGTTTTTTTTTTTTTTTTTTTTTTTTTTTTTTTAGTATTGTAAAATAAATAATACCTCCTCAGTAGAACTGATTAAACAGTCTCCCAAAGGATAAAGTCAAAGGAACGTTAATTTTAGTTTCAAGATTCAGTCAGATGAGGTTCCGGGCACTGCGGCTTATGCCTGTATTTCCAGCAATTGGGAGGCCAAGGTGGGAGGGTCATTTAAGGCCAGGGGTTCGAGACCAGCCTGGGCAACATAGCAAGATCCTGTCTCTACAAATAATATATGAAAATTAGTTGGGAAGGCCAGGTGCGGTGGGTCACATTTGTAATCTCAGAACTTTGGGAGGCCAAGGTGGGTGGATCATTTGAGGCCAGGAGTTTGAGACAAGCCTGGCCAAGACAGTGAAACCCCTCTACGAAAAATACAAAAAAATTGGCCAGGTGTGGTGCCTCACACCTGTAATCTCAGCACTTTAGGAGGATGAGGTGGGTGGATCACTTGAGGTCAGGGGTTTGAGATCAGCCTGGCCAACATGAAGAAACCACATCTCTACTAAAAAACAAAAAACCAAAAAAACAAAAAACAAAAAAAACAAGAAAATTAGCCAGGCATGGTGGCACACTACTGTAATCCCAGCTACTTGGGAGGATGAGGCAGGATAATTGCTTGAATCTGGGAGGTGGAGGTTGCAGTGAGCTGAGGTCTTGCCACTGCACTTCAGCCTGGGTGATGGAGCAAAACTCCCATCTCAAAAAAAAAAAAAAAAAAAAAAATTATCTGAATGTGGTGGTGCATTCCTATAATCCCAAATACTTGGGTGGCTGAGGCATGAGAATCACTTGAACCCAGGAGGCAGAGGCTACAGTGAGCCAAGGTTGAGCCACTGCACTCTAACCTGGGTGACAGAGTGAGATTGTGTCTCAAAAAAATAAAAAATAAAAAATAAAAAATAAAAAAAAATGGCCAGGGGCGGTGGCTCAAGCTTGTAATCCCAGCACTTTGGGAGGCCGAGGCAGGTGGATCACGAGGTCAAGAGATCGAGACCATCCTGGTCAACATGGTGAAACCCCGTCTCTACTAAAAATACAAAACATTAGCTGGGCATGGTGGCACGTGCCTGTAATTCCAGCTACTCAGGAGGCTGAGGCAGAAGAATTGCCTGAACCCAGGAGGCGGAGGTTGCGGTGAGCTGAGATCGTGCCATTGCACTCCAGCCTGGGTAACAAGAGCAAAACTCCGTCTCAAAAAAAAAAAAAAAAAAAAAAAAATTAGTTGAGCGTGGTGGTGTGTGCCTGTAGACTCACCTATTCTGGAGGCTGAGGCAAGAGAATTGCTTGAGACTAGGAGGTCAAGACTGCAGTGAGCTATGATTATGCCACTGTGCTCCAGCCTGGGCAACAGAGGGATACTTTGTATCTTTAAAAAAAAAATCAAATGAGGGTTAAAAGGAATCAATAGTTGGCTTCTAAAAGCCCCCTCGTAGGACGGGTGCAGTGGGTCATGCCTGTAATATGAGCACTTTTGGGATGCCAAGGCAGGTCGATCAGGTCGATCACTTGAGGTCAGGAGTTCGAGACCAGCCTAGCCAACATGGTGAAAGCCCATCTCTATTTAAAAAAAAAAAAAGAAAAGAAATTTAAATTAGCCATGTGTGGTGGCATGCACCTGTAATCCCAGCTACTCGGTAGGCTGAGGCAGGAGAATTGCTTGAGCCTGGATGGCCGAGGTTGCAGTGAGCCAAGATGAGTCACTACACTCCAGCCTGGGCAACAAAAACAAACTCCATTTCAAAAACAAAAACAAAAGCCCTCTCCTACTTGAGGTCCTCATCTTTGAGGGGTCAGCATCCAGAACTTCCGAGTTCTCAAACTATTTTGTGAATCCTTTGATTCTAAGGCAAGAATTCTTAAATTCCAAGGCCATAAAATTCCAGGCTGCATGCTCAGAGCTTTAGATGTATTTACAGAAAACAAACAACTGAGGCCCAGTGAAGTGGACTCACCCACCTGTGGTCACACAGCCTGCCAGAAGGATTTGGACCCGAAGCCTGACTGATGGGGAATCAGCAGTGGCTCCCTCTGCATTGAAGAGCCTAAGGTTCTGGGACAAAAGTCCAGTTTCTTCTACTTTTCTTTCTTTTTTCTTTTTCTTTTTCTTTTCTTTTCTTTCTTTTTTTTTTTTCTGAGACAGTTTCGCTCTTGTTGCCCAGGCTGGAGTGCAATGGCACAATCTCCGCTCACCACAACCTCTGCCTCCCAGGTTCAAGCGATTCTCCTGCCTCAGCATCCCGAATAGCTGTGATTAGCTACCACACTTGGCTAATTTTTAGTAGAGACAAGGTTTCTCCGTGTTGATCAGGCTGGTCTCAAACTCCTGATCTCAGGTGATCCGCCCAACTTGGCCTCCCAAAGTGCTGGGATTACAGGCACGAGCCACTGGGCCTGGCCTCTTTTTCTTTTTGACACAGAGTCTTGCTCCATCGCCTGAGCTGGAGTGCAGTGGTGCAATCTCGGCTCACTGAAACCTCCACCTCCTGGGTTCAAACGATTCTCATGCCTCAGCCTCCTCAGTAGCTGAGATTACAGGCATGTGCCACCATATCCAGCTTTTTTTTTTTTTTTTGTATTTTTAGTAGAGGCGGGGTTTCACCAAGTTGGCCAGGCTGGTCTCGAACTCCTGGCCTCAAGTGATCCACCTGCCCCAGCCTCCCAGAGTGCTGGGATTACAGGCGTGAGCCACCGTGCTTGGCCAAAAAGTAGAGTTTCTAAGACAGGAAGCTTGAAAATAATAGCATGCACTTATTGAACGCTTACTTCATGCCTGGCAACTTACATGCACCAGCTCAGCGGAAGCTCACAAGAATTCTATCAGGTCAATGCAGGCATTAGCTGCGTTTGACATGTGCATTTTCCACAAGTAAGTGGTAGCTTGTGGAAGCGGCTGGTGGGAGTGGGCGCACCGGTAGTTACCGGACAGTGGAACCAGGCTGCCTCCCTAACTATTGGGCTTTACTGGCTCTCTGCACCCTGAGTCTGTCAGTGAACATCGTGATTCCCAGCAGAGTCTCTCGTTCCAAACCAGGGATTAGAACTCCGGGGCTATGGGAGATTTCCTGAGGCCACAAAGGATTTGGTCGAGCACACACAGGGATTTTTCTAGTTTTAGATATGATTTAATTCAAAATCTCTGCCCGCTCCCGGTCTGTTAGAGGTGCGGCAAGTGGGGGAGGCAGGAACCTCCCCTCGCTGGTCCAGGGGTCCCCCACCCAATTCCGCTGTTCCCGGTAATGCCCCCCTTGGCAGGTCCTCCGCTCCGCGCCCGCAGCTCCAGGCAGCTCGAGAGCGCGGGACTATAGGGCGGGGGGCGAGGGGCTGGGAGCGGGGGGCGGGCGGAGGGAGGAACAATGGCCCCCTCCCCTCCCCTGGCCGGCTGGAGGGTGGGGTCTCCCCGCCCCGCCTCCCCGCTCCTCCCCCGACAAGGCGATGAGGTAATCGCGCCGCTGAGAGGCACGCGCAGCCGGTGCCCAGCCGGTTGGTCCCCGCGCCCCTGCCCCGCCGGCCACCGCCCCCCAGCACCGTCCCGGCCCCGGCCGCCCGGCCCCACCATGACCGAGCGGTGCAGCCTGTGGAGCGCCCTGTCGGCCGCCGCCTGCTGCTTCTACCGCGGCTCCTTCGTGCAGGTGCAGGTGAGGGGGCGGCTCGGCCCCCGCCACGCGCGCTGGGCTGGGACCCCCGGCCGCTCCACCCGGGGCCCTACAGCCAGCCAGGGAGCTGCAGCCCCGCGTCGCCTGGCAGGGTCGGTCCGGTCCGGTCCGGTCCGGCCCAGCCGGGCCGGTCTGGGGAGGGGGCGGGGTCGCCCCAACCTCACCTCTGGGTGCCCAGGAGCTCCGCAGGGTGAGGGTTCAGCGACCACTCCTGGGATTCCGGGCTGCGGGGGATGCCGGTCCGGTTCTGCCTCCTCCGCAGCAGGGAGAGACCTGGGGCGGGAGGACTGGTAGATGGGGTCCCCTGCGCCCTGCCTGTCCTCCGCCTGGTTCGCTGGCCCTTGCGGCTGACCCAGGCACCCTGGCTCCCCATTGTACCGGGGGCGCTGGGCTGGGGTCTGAAGGCTGAGTGAGGAGCAGGAAACGCGGGGGATGCTTCGGGTGCCAGGGTTGGGGCCAGAGTGCCCGCCACCCTCCCGCCCTCTAGCTGGGCTCGGGCATGCCTGGGGCGCGGGTCTCTCCTAGCCCAGCTGGCGGGCACTGCAGGACGGCGCCGCGGCGGTGAGAGGGTTAAACGGAAGGGGGTGGAGGGGAGGACCCGGACCCCGCCTCTCTGCGGAGCATCCTTTGGGCACGGCTTTGCTTGGGGTTGGGACGCTGAGAGGAGCTGGAAGGGATGCTGCGCTCGCGCTGGCGGGAAGAGGTTAAGACACTGTCCGGGGGTCTCCGCCCTCCTGCCCCTTGATCCCCCTGGGAGACGCCAGGCGCGTCGGTTCTGCGCTCCCCCAGGCTAACACACGCGCGCGGAGCCCGCCTGAAGGACAGCCCCGCCGGCAGCGGAGCGCAGCATCCCCGCACCGGCCAATCAGGCGCGCGCAGGCCGGGAGGCGGTGAGATCATCTCTGGCCAATAGCAGGGCGCCGAGCGCTGGGATGCTGCATTCGCACCCCAGCACCCCCAACTCTAGGGAGCTGGGGCCCCAGGTCGAGGTGAGATCAAGGCACAGGGACTCTAGGGTACCTCACCCTCAGGTGTGCAGGAGGACCAAGTTGGTCCCCCCAAACTCTCTGGAAGCAGTGGTTAAGCTGGCAAAGGGGAGCCCAGTCTCCCAGCCCCCTTTAACGGATGAAACTGCCCAGGTCCAGAGAGGGGAAGTGACTGGCTCAAGGTCACACAGTGGCAGCCTTGGGGTGGGTTCTTCAACACCCAGCCTCCTCCCTCCTTTGCCCGCGTCCCTCTAGCTCCAGCTGTGGAGCTGGGGGAAGGTGTCAATCGCATGCTGTTTGTCAGGGAGGATACCAGAAGGCTGGGGTCCTGGTTCCCTTTTTCCCTGTGATGCCCACTCTTCCCTCCCCAGGGTTTGGTGTGATATGAGGAAAGAGGACTAGGCCGGTGTGAGCACCGCAAAGTGAGAGGGAGAGAGGCCAGGGACCCCCAGAAATAGGGAACCCCTTGGAGAAGGGTAGGTGGCTGAGAAGGCCTGGATCCTAGCTCAGCCCTGGGCCTCTCTGCCCTTCAGGGACATCAGTTTCTACCATGGGTGGAGGATGTACAGAATTCCCACCCCCAGGCTCCGCCTTTCCCCTGAGCACCTGTGCAAACCACCCACTCCCACCATCTGTCCCCACAGCCCTGAGGGCTCCTCGAAGTCCACATTTTCATGGGCCCACTGCCAATCTGCTCCTGCCCCAGGCTTGCCCACTCAAAGTGTGCCCTATCATCCTTCCAGGATCTCAGCCTGGAGTCCTCTCTGACTACTCCATCCCAGTCCCCCACATAGATCAATGGACATCTAAACTCCCCTTCCCCCACTCCCTCTCCCACACCCCATCTGCCCTACCACTGCCTGGAAAACTCTAGGCTGCTCTCCACAGGTGGACTAAACCTGCCCCAACATTTCCAAATCCTTCCATGGCTCTGCTGTGGCCTCTGGGTAAACCTCAGTTCCCTGAGGCAGCCCTTCCACACCTGACCCTACCCCAACAGCCCCTTGGAAACTTCTCATCCATCTCCCCTCCCTCTCCTTGGTTCTGCCTGTAGCGCCCTGACTTTGCAGCTGTCTCCCCAGAAGCTCTTCCCTGCCCACCTGTCTACCCACTCTCTCCACCCTGGTGCTTCTGCTTGGCTCCCTGAGTCCTTCTTCAGGCCTCAGCAAAAGCATCACCTTTTCAGGGAAGTGATCCCTGACTCTGCCCCCTGCCTTGGTTGGTGGTACACCATCTCCGTCTGTGCATCTCTGGACATTCAGGAAACCTGGAATTGACTGTCAGTGTCTGCAAAGGCTCCCCAGGGCAGAGGCTACCTTGGATCCTCAGCCCTGGCATAGGACCAGGGTAGGGATTTAGTCAGTGTTGAATGGAGTCAGAGATTCTAGGTTATCTCTGACACTGGGAATCATGGTGTCTTGGGAGCAATGCAGACTGGGGTAAACTCAGGCAGTGTGGGAGCAGAGGGGTGAAGGATGTGTCCATAGAATTAGGAGGCAAGATCTGTGGATGGTCTGAGGAGGCAGGGAGTGGACTGGAGGACCCTTGGACTCTGGGGAGCCAGGGATCCCAGGGAGAGACTCACCTGGAATGAAGGCCCTTTACTGCCCTCCCTCATCGATCCTGCCTTCTGGTGTCTGTCTGTCTTGGAGTAGTCATCTTTGGGGTCCAGAGTCAGGGAAAGGAGAGGAAGGACTGTCCCATGTGCTCACAGTGATTAGGATGTCCATATACCAGTAGTATTCTGGAGTGCTCTTTTCATCCTCACATGAGGTGAAGCAGGTTCTATCACTGTACCCATTTCAATGAGGAAGAAATTGAGGCCCAGAGACCTCACATGGCACAGCTAGGATTGGGCTGGGCTCTGGTGGGGGTACACCTGGCACTGAAGACTCCCCTTCTTCTGTCCTTAGGGCCCCTGGGATCCATCAGCCTCCAACTTGAGGCCATAGTAACCAGGAGTCTCTCCTGGGCCAGGTGGGAGGGTGGAGTACTGGGCATCATTTCCCTCAGTGGCCTTGGACTTCCTTGCTGGGCTGTGATCTCCCCATCTGGTGAGGATTGCTGGGGATTTCAAGGGTGAGATGGCCTTGGAAATTGTGAGGGGCAATGTAGATGTCTGTGTAGGGTCCCCATGTCCTGGTTTATGGTCCCTTCCCCATCCTTGCACTGTAGCATGCATCATCCCAGAACCTATCCTTGTCCTACCAGCTTTGTGGTTTTGCTCACACCTTTTCCTGCAGTACCTGTTGCCTTGCCTCCAAGATTCACCTGTAGAAATCCCCCTCTGACACTTCAAGATCAGCTCGGTGCCCTTGGTGCATAATGAGTGTTTTCTTACTGCCATATCCTCCAGGAAGGCTTCCCAGATCCCTCTGCCTCACCCAGACTTACTCCAGCTTGTAAAAGCCACCCCGCTCTTTGCCGCTGTCCAGTGCCGTGGTGCTGACTGCAGTCTACTCAGAGGCTCCCACTGCTTTTGCCTCTCCTCGGCCTAGGCGCTGCCTTTAGGGCCGGGCTTGATTTACATATCACCGCACCCACCCCTGGCATATGGCACAGGACCTGGAATGCAGTTGGCATTGTTTGGTGGAATTAATTGAGATTTCTTTACTTTTTCTGGGACCCATGGGAATGGACCTTTCTGGTACCTGTGCCTTAGTGCTACCAGAGTCCCAGGAGAGGAGGAGTTCACCCACGGTAGAATGAAGTTGGGAGGGCAGGAGGAAGGGGGCTTTAAGTTGGATGCCAACTTTTGCTGTCTCCACCCCCCCACCCCCACCCCAGTTCTCCAAGGAGAAGTACATTCTGGACTCATCACCGGAGAAACTGCACAAGGAATTGGAGGAGGAGCTCAAACTCAGCAGCACGGATCTCCGCAGCCACGCCTGGTACCATGGCCGCATCCCCCGAGAGGTGAGCGGGCCCGAAGCTGGGACTTCGACCCTGGACCCTCCCACGCACTGCCTTGGCCAGCCCCAGCCCTGGCTGCAGCCACCTGGGAGACCCTGACCTATTACTTGGTAGATTCAATCAGAATGGACTGGGATGAGGTCTAGCTCTGCCCTTTACTATGTGACCTTGAACAAGTTGCTTCACTTCTCCAAGCCTCAGTATCTATTGCAAAGGCTTATTGTAAAAATTAAATGAAACAATGCAGGTAAAATGTTTAACGTGATGCTTGACACCATGAATGTTGGCCTTTGTTGTTATTATTACTGCTATTGTTACTGGTCTATATACCTGCTTATTGTACGTTTGCTTAGTGAGTACCAATCTTAGGGCTACTTAGTTTTGGCAAAGTTGAGTTTCTTGGCCAATGTGACTTCATTTTTGTTTTTATTTTTTTGAGATGGAGTCTTGCTCTGTCACCCAGGCTGGAGTGCAATGGCACGTTCTTGGCTCACTAAACCTCCGCCTCCTGGGTTTAAACCATTCTCCTGCCTTAGCCTCCCGAGTAGCCAGGATTATAGGTGCACACCACCATGCCTGGCTCATTTTTGTATTTTTAGTAGAGCTGGGGTTTCACTATGTTGGTCAGGCTGGTCTCAAACTCCTGACCTCGTGATCTGCCCGCCTCAGCCTTCCAAAGTGCTGGGATTATAGGTGTGAGCCACCACACCCGGCCCCGAGGTGACTTTATAAGCCACAGACTTAGGCTGATAGATCACTTGTTCTTTCTTTCATTCATGCTGTAATCTTTGCCAAGCACCAACTCTGCCAGGACCTGTGCTAAGCACCACTGATGCAGAGGTTGAAGAGGTGGTGGCTTCTCTTGAGGGCTAATGACTCAGGGGGGCTGGGTGCTGATAGTTAGAGCCTAGTGGGAGAAATGCAAGAATAGAGTGCCTAGCATGAATATGGTTAAGTCCCAAGGAGGGGACACTGAGGAGGGAGGGCTTTGTGAGATGGATAGGAGTTCCCCAGGTGGGACTGGGAGCAGTGGCTCGCGCCTGGAATCTCAGCACTTTGGGAGGCCGAGGCCGGTGGATCACCTGAGGTCAGGAGTTTGAGATCAGCCTGGCTGTCTCTACCAAATATACAAAAATTAGCCAGGCATGGTGGCGGGCACCTGTAATCCCAGTTACTTGGGAGGCTGAGGCAGGAGAATTGCTTGAACTCGGGAGGCAGATGTTGTAGTGAGCTGAGATCATGCTACCACGCTCCAGCCTGGATGACAGAGTGAGACCCCATTTCAATAATTAATAAAACAAATTACCAAACAAACAAATAAGTTCAGCAGATGGACAAGGCAGGAAGGGTATTCTAGGAACAGAAAGCAGCTTGGTGCAAGGGCCAGAGGCATGCCAGAGCACTGAGTGGTTGAAGGAATGAGGATGAGGAATTCACTCTGCCCAACCAGAACCCTGATAGGGAGTGGGTCTGAGGCCTGGGTCTCAGATCATGACCATTCTCACTTCTCCAGACCCTGGGCCTCTGTGCCTTCCATTCCAAGGTGTCATGTCCTCTGATTCCTGAGCCTCTGTGCCGTAGACCCAGAGCCCCTGGCTGAGGTGCTCCCTCTGAACCAGGGTCATTGCATCCCCGCTCTCAAGCATCAGATATCAGATGTCTCTGTTGACTGGGCCCTCTATACCCTGGGTCTGATCTTGCTGTTTCCCCCAATCCCGGGTTGCTCTGTCCCCCAGATCCTGGGTCCAGCCCTCTCCTGGCCCTGCCCTGCTCCAGCCTAACCATGCCTTCTGCAGGTCTCAGAGACCTTGGTACAACGCAATGGTGACTTCCTCATCCGGGACTCGCTGACCAGCCTGGGAGATTATGTGCTCACGTGCCGCTGGCGCAACCAGGCCTTGCACTTCAAGATCAACAAGGTGGTGGTGAAGGCGGGTGAGAGCTACACGCACATCCAGTACCTATTTGAGCAGGAGAGCTTCGACCACGTGCCTGCCCTCGTGCGTTATCATGTGGGCAGCCGCAAGGCTGTATCGGAGCAGAGTGGTGCCATCATCTACTGCCCGGTGAACCGCACCTTCCCACTGCGCTACCTCGAGGCCAGCTATGGCCTGGGACAGGGGAGTAGCAAGGCTGCCAGCCCTGCCAGCCCCTCTGGCCCCAAAGGCAGCCACATGAAGCGGCGCAGCATCACCATGACCGATGGGCTCACTGCCGACAAGGTCACTCGCAGCGATGGCTGCCCCACCAGGTCAGCCAGAGCCCCATTTGTCAAAGGGGGATGTGGGTAACGAGAGGGCTGGTGAGAAAGGGAAGGCCCAGCCACACTGAAATGGGATCAAAGTACTCTCCTGGAGCCTCTGTGTGCAGGGGGAATAGAAGGAAGGTTGGGCCATACTATGTGGATATATGGAACACAGGGCTTGCAGGGAGTAGTCAGACCCGGGTTGCAGTTCCAGCTCTGCCACTTGCTAGTCATGTGCCCTTGACCCTGTCACTTCTCCATTCTTATCTCATATTCCTACCTATAAAGGCTTTCATTCAAGCAGCCCTCCCTACCCCAAGGGAGCCCTGAGTCCTGAACCGGAGAGGGGCCTGGTCCCCACTGCCCAATACCACCCCTCTTCATCCTACCCATCTAGGCCAAGGTGGGCATCCAAGCAGAGGGCTTTACAGCATGGAAATCACTGCACAGGGAATGGGATGTTCTCAGTGAATTTTAATCACACCCGATTGTCTCTGGGGCTAAGACCAGGCCCTGGATGCTGGGAAAAGCCACAGCAGCTAAAGGTTCCTGAGATCCTCCTAAGTGTTAAGCGTTGTACGTGCCTAATCTCATTAGTGCCCACTTCCTTATGGGAGGTGGGTCCTGCCCATACACCCACTTTATAGATGAGGACGCAGGCTTAGAGGGGGGAAACTGCTTGCTAGATAGTGCTAGGATCAAGACCCAAACCCAGGTCTGCAGACTCTGAACTCTGTGCCCCAAGTTTCTGTGGCTTCCCTGGCTGTTTGCAAAGAGATCCGCTGTCCTTTGCCACCTGCACTTGGACAGGCCCTTGAGGCCACATCTCCCTGGCCTGGGTTGGGTACTTCCAGCCAAGGAGTTGACGAATGGATACCCTGGGGACAGCAGCCACTTGGCCTGTGGTTTGAAACCAGTACACATAATGGTGCCAGGATCCATGGACCATGTGTGCCTGAGGCATCCTGAGCATAGTTGGGAGCAGAGAGGAGAGGTCAGGATGATGGTCCCACTCCCTAAGGCTCCCCACCCTTCCTGCTGGCCCCTCTCCCCAGACAGTTCTCCAGGCTGGAGGAAGTCTCTGCTTATCAAGCCGAAGGCGCTAGTGAGGGGCCGTGTCTGCCCAGAGAATGGTTGTAGTTGACTAACTTGCAAAAGGCACCCCGTCGGGTAGTTGAATTCTGGCCTGTATCCCCTTTCCCATCCTCTACCCCTCAGGGAAAGAGAGGGACAGAGGAGCCTGAAAAGTGTTGGCTCAGCTGGGTGCCTCCAAGCCTCATCCTCAGGCTTCTCTAAGCTTTGTGGAGGGGAAGGCTGGGTGGGAATGGAGGAGAGCAGGGCCATGTGGAGGATACTGACTAGGAACCGGGCAAGTGGCCAGGTCCAGTGGCTCATGCCTGTAATCCCAGTACTTTGGGAGGCTGAGACGGGCAGATCACCTGAGGTTGGGATCTGCCTGACCAACATGAATAAACCCCGTCTCTACTAAAAACACAAAATTAGCCAGGTGTGGTGGTGCATGCCTGTAATCCTAGCTACTCAGGAGGCTGAGGCAGGAGAATCACTTGAACATGGGAGGCAGAGGTTGCGGTGAGCTGAGATCGCACCATTGCACTCCAGCCTGGGCACCAAGAGAAAAACTCTGACTCAAAAAAAGAAAAAGAAAGCCAGGTGTGCTCACCACCAGGGTTCCTAGCTCTGCTCCTGCCTCACTGTGTCCCCCGTCCTCTGGGCTTCCGGGTTTTTTGTACCTGCCAGTCAGGAGGTTGGATTTGATGATCTCCGATCTTCTTTGCCTCTGAAGTTCAAGGTGCAGAGGTGGGGGTTCCAGAGGCAGGCCGAGGCCCCTGACCTCGGGACTCCCTGCCCATGACAGTGTCTGTTCCACAGTATGTCGCTGCCCCGTCCTCGGGACTCCATCCGCAGCTGTGCCCTCAGCATGGACCAGATCCCAGACCTGCACTCGCCCATGTCGCCCATCTCCGAGAGCCCTAGCTCCCCCGCCTACAGCACTGGTATGGCCAGCAGAGGGGGTGGAGCAGGTGGAACGAATCTGTCATTGATGACTTCTGTCACCTGTGTGTGGTTATGTGTGTTTCTGCCTCTTTACTGAGAGCAAGAATTGACACTAAAAACCTGTTAGGAGAACTGTTGGTATCAAGATACAAGATGTATCCATGGCTTGTTCATTGAACAACAATTTATGTATTTATTTATTTTTCTAGTAGCTTACCAGAACCAGGTGGAATATTATTTATTTATTTTATTTATTTATTTATTTATTTATTTATTTATTTATTTATTTATTTTTTTGAGACGGAGTTTCGCTCTTGTTACCCAGCCTGGAGTGCAATGGCGCGATCTCGGCTCACCGCAACCTCCGCCTCCTGGGTTCAGGCAATTCTCCTGTCTCAGCCTCCTGAGTAGCTGGGATTACAGGCATGCACCACCAGGCCTGGCTAATTTTTAGTAGAAATGGTGTTTCACCACGTTGGCCAGAGTGGTCTCAAACTCCTGACCTCAGGTGATCCACCCACCTCGGCCTCCCACAGTGCTGGGATTACAAGCGGGTGACACCATGCCCAGCTAATTTTTGTATTTTTACTAGAGATGGGGTTTCACCATGTTGGCCAGGCTGGTCTTGAACTCCTGACCTCAGGTGATCTGCCCACTCGGCCTCCCAAAGTGCTGGGATTACAGGCATGAGCCACCGCGCCCGGCCTCCCTTTTTCTTAATAGACTTTATTTTTTAGAGCAATTTTAGGTTCACAGCAAAAGTTAAGTGGAAAGTACAGAACACTGTGCTTTCTTATAAATATGAAGAAAGTTTCTATGTTAGAAACATTCCAATAGGTCATTTCTGGAAAAAAACACAAAAAGAATGTTTTCAGTAGTCCATATTGTCCACGTGGCAGGCCAAGTGTCTTGAGAGGGGGCTTTCCCAGGAGGAACTTTCGCCTAGGGAGGCATTCCACTGAAGTGTTGCTGTCCGTATTGGTTGTCACAAATCCTTCCCTAAACACAGAGCTGCCGACTTTGTCATAACTACAAACTTGATTTCAAAGCAATACCCCTGAATATAAAATGTAAAATTCCTTGCCAAAAATGACTTATTGGACAATTTCTAAGCAATGTGGTATAGTAAAGCAGCCCAGATATCAAGACTTAAATCCTGGCTCTACCACTTGCTGGCTGGGTGACCTTGGGCAGGTCAGTGCACCTCTCTGAGCCTCAGTTTTCTCGTCTGTGGAATGAGGATTGTAAAAGTACTTACCCCCAGGACACTGAAAGGGTTAAATAGACTGAGACACAAAGAAGGGTCTTGCAGACAGTAAGAGCTCAGTAAATACTGCCTCTGAGGTTTGATGATGGTTTTACTGCCCTTATAGCTCCAGCATGTTGCCAGCTCCTGGCACACAAGGTATAGCAACAAATCATTATTGCTAATTCAGGCTGAGCGTGGTGGCACACATCTGTAATCCCAGCTACTCAGGAGGCTGAGGCAGAAAAATTGCTTGAACCTTGGAGGCAGAGGTTGCGGTGAGCTGAGATAGTACCACTGCACTCCAGCCTGGGCAACAGAGTGAGACTCTGACTAAAAAAAAAAGAAAAAAGAAAAAATTAGCCGGGTGTGGTGGTACATGACTGTAATCCCAGCTACTCAGGGAGACTGAGGCTCAAGAATTGCTTGAAAACCCAGGAGGTGGAGGTTGCAGTGAGCCTAGTTGGTGCCATTGCACTCCAGCCTCGGTGACAGTGAGATTCTGACTCAAAAAAAAAAAAAAATCATTATTGCTAATTGATTGAGAAACAATTGCATGTGGCACAAGAAATTGCAGCAGGTGCTCAGCTTCCCTGGATCACTGGACGCTCCTCCAAGCAGTGGGTCCCCAAGGCTGCAGCAGCCTCAGGGTGGGGCCATGCAAACTCCTGGGTCCTGGTGATTTCTGCCAGCCCTGGTCTCTGCTCATGCCAGGAGGTGGGGACATCACCTCTGTATTCCCTACAAGGAGTGAGGGAGCTTGGTCTTTGGGAAGGAATGCAGGAATCTCACTTTGGTGGGGAGCTGCTGTAACTGGGTCTCTCTCTACCTTTCTGCAGTAACCCGAGTCCACGCTGCCCCTGCAGCCCCTTCTGCCACAGCACTGCCTGCCTCTCCTGTTGCCCGCCGTTCCAGTGAGCCTCAGCTATGTTCCGGAAGTGCCCCAAAGACCCATGGGGAGACAGACAAGGGTCCCCACACCAGCCCCTCCCACACCCTCTGCAAGGCCTCCCCGTCACCATCACTCAGCAGCTACAGTGACCCGGACTCTGGCCACTACTGCCAGCTGCAGCCTCCCTGTGCGTGGCAGCCGAGAGTGGGCAGCGGCTGAGGCCTCCAGCCGGCAGGCCAGGAGCTATGGGGAGAAGCTAAAGGAACTGTCAGAAAATGGGGCCCCCGAGGGGGACTGGGGCAAGACCTTCACAGTCCCCATTGTGGAAGTCACCTCTTCCTTCAACCCGGCCACCTTCCAGTCACTACTGATCCCCAGGGATAACCGGCCGCTGGAGGTAGGCCTTCTGCGGAAGGTCAAGGAGCTGCTGTCGGAGGTGGATGCCCGGACGCTGGCCCGGCATGTCACCAAGGTGGACTGCTTGGTAGGTGCTGGCTGTGCACTCGGGTTGGGGGAGCGCCTCTGTTCTCTGGCGCAGAGCAGTGAGAAGCTGGCTCCCAGATTCCCCCAAGTACAGCAAGTGGGCCGGATTCTAGCTCCATGGCTGTCCTTTGCCTGCTCTGTCTCTGGGCTGGTCATTTAGCCTCAGTGGGCCTCTAGTTTTTCCTTTTAAAAAGCACATAAGGCCGAGAGTTGTGGTTATACCTGAATCCCAGCACTTTGGGAGGCTGAGGCGGGTGGATCACCCGAGGTCAGTGGATCACCTGAGGTCGATAGTTCAAGACCAGCCTGGCTAACATGGTGAAACCCTGTCTCTAATAAAAATACAAAAATTAGCTAGGCATCATGGCAGGTGCCTATAATCCAAGCTACTCAGGAGGCTGAGGCAGAAGAATTGCTTGAGTTGGAAGGTAGAGGTTGCAGTGAGCTGAGATCACACCAGTGCACTCCAGCCTGGGCAACAGAGGGAGACTCTTTAAAAAAAAAAAAAAAAAAAAAAAGCACATAAGAGATCCTTGCTTCCTCCAGTTGCCAGTTTGGCACTAGAACAGGGCAGATAGTTTTCTTTGGCTCCCTGAGGCACCTGGGGACACTTCTCTAGAAAAGGCCCAACTCTCCACCCCTACCCCCTTAGCGGACAGATAAGCAGAAGTCATGACCTCCTCGGCCCATAAATTGTCAATGCCCAGGCCTTAGCTTTGTTGAGTCTTTGAACATCTAAAGACCCCAGTTCTCTCTATGTCTCAGCTTCTCCTTTTGCAGTTTGGGAGAAACTGATTACTGGGTTACAGTGGTCTCAGAGCACAGGAAGCAAGAAAAGAGACAAGGCAGAAAGGTCGCTCCATGAAGAGTCCTGGGTGGCAGGGAGGACCCAGGTTGTAGGCCCAGTGTGTGACTTTGGGCAAGCCCATTCCCTCCCTGGGCTTCAGGGTTTCCTTCTGCAATGAACAAGTATCCTGCCCTTGACCTTAACTGAATATGTATGTATGTATGTATGTATGTACTTTTTGAGATGGAGTCTTACTCTGTCACTGAGGCTGGAGTGCAGTGGCAGGATCTCAGCTCACTGTAACCTCCACCTCCTGGGTTCGAGTGATTCTCCTGCCTCAGCCTCCCAAGTAGATGGGACTACAGGCACATGCCACTGCACCCAGCTACTTTTTGGATTTTTAGTAGAGATGGGGTTTTGCCATATTGGCTAGGCTGGTCTCAGACTCCTGACCTCAGGTGATCCTCCCACCTCGGCCTCCCAAAGTGCTGGCAATCAGGTGTGAGCCACCACGCTCAGCCAACCTTAACTGAGTATTTAATACACCAGGCACCTCTGGACATTTTTCCATTAATCCCCATTTCACAGATGGGGAAACTGAGGCTCTCTGAGAAAGGCAGAGTCACTTGTTCCGTATCAGAGGGTTAGCGGTGGAGCTGGGATTCAAACCCCACCTCCCAACCAGGCTACCCACTTAGATAAAAGCTCTCTGGCCGGGCGCAGTGGCTCAAACCTGTAATTCCAGCACTTTGGGAGGCCGAGGCGGGTGGATCACAAGTTCAAGAGATCGAGACCATCCTGGTCAACATGGTGAAACCCTGTCTCTACTAAAAATACAAAAAATTAGCTGGGCATGGTGGCGCGTGCCTGTAATCCCAGCTACCCAGGAGGCTGAGGCAGGAGAATTGCCTGAACCCAGGAGGCGGAGGTTGCGGTGAGCCGAGATCGTGCCATTGCACTCCAGCCTGGGTAACAGGGGCGAAACTGTCTCAAAAGAAAAAAAGAAAAAAAGCTCTCTGACTCACAGCCCTGACAGGCTATTAATCAGCCCTCTCGGCGTCTTTGCAGGTTGCTAGGATACTGGGCGTTACCAAGGAGATGCAGACCCTAATGGGAGTCCGCTGGGGCATGGAGCTGCTCACCCTCCCCCATGGCCGGCAGCTACGCCTAGACCTGCTGGAAAGGTGAGGCAGCGCCGGCACCCGGGGACTCGCGGGGAACCCCTGGCTACCGCACTACCCGCTAGCCCGGGCGGGTTGGCCAATCATAACCTCTCAGCCCCGCGTCTGGGTGCTCTGGCCACGCCTCCCAGCCCATTGACCAATCGCAACCCCGGATGACTCCCTCTAAGCAAACTGATTTCCCAAAGACTGAGTCCTGTATTTCCGCATTCGCCTTCCTTTCGCATCCCCTTGACCAGTCATCCACTGGACTATCAGCCTGGCCCCGCCCATCAGCTCGGACTTCTTGTTCATTCTTAAAACTGCTCTGCGTGATGCATTCCGCGGCTCACCCACAGCTCTGGCCCCGCCCCTGTCTTATGCTGGCCAATCAGAAGCCCGAGGACTTGCTTTCCGCGCTCTGGCCGCGCTCCCTTGTTCCACTGACCCCTTACAACCTCTCACGTTGGCTCCGCCCTCTGCCCCTCCCGGCCCAACCACAGGCAGGGCCGGCCTCCTGTCAGCACCCCTCACTCCAGTCCCCAAGCCCGCCGCCTCTGACCCCGCCACTTCGACAGGTTCCACACCATGTCCATCATGCTGGCCGTGGACATCCTGGGCTGCACCGGCTCTGCGGAGGAGCGGGCAGCGCTGCTGCACAAGACCATCCAGCTGGCGGCCGAGCTGCGGGGGACTATGGGCAACATGTTCAGCTTCGCGGCGGTCATGGGTGCCCTGGACATGGCCCAGGTACTGAGGGCCGTGCAGAGCCGGCATCGATAGACTGTCTGGAAGAACCCTGGCGTTCCTTTTGGGATGGCTGTGTATGGAAATAGGAGGAGCTTTGGATTTTCTAGGCAGCATTGGTGAGAGTACCGGGGAGAACTGAGTTCTGCAAGTGCTGACCCACAGCAAGTTCTTTCCTGTCTCTGGGCCTCAGTTTCCTCGCTTGTAAAATAAAATGAATGAGGAGCATTATATGAGTTTAAAGAATAGGCCGGGCGCGGTGGCTCACGCCTGTAATCCTAGCACTTTGGGAGGCCAAGGTGGGTGGATCACCTGAGGTCAGGAGTTCAAGACCAGCCTGGCCATCATGGAGAAACCCCATCTTTAAAAAAAAAAAAAAAAAAAAGAATAAGAATAAGGCCGGGCGCGGTGGTTCACACCTGTAATCCCAGCACTTTGGGTGGCCAAGGTGGGCACATCACCTGAGATCAGGAGTTTGAGACCAGCCTGGCCTACATGGTAAAAGGTGGGCAAATCACCTGAGATCGGGAGTTTGAGACCAGCCTGGCCAACATGGTAAAACCCCGTCTCTACTAAAAATACAAAAATTAGCCAGGCATGGTGGTGGACGCTTGTAATCTCAGCTACTCAGGATGCTGAGGCAGGAGAATCGCTTGAACCCAGGAGGCAGAGGGGGCAGTGAGCCGAGATCGTGCCACTGCACTCCAGCCTGGGTGACAGAGGGAGACTCCATCTCGAAGATAAATCAATCAATCAATAAATAATAAATAAGAACAACAAGGTCTCAGAGGCAGTGTCCTAGGTTCAACTTCCAGCTCTGCCACTTTTTTGGAATAACTGTGGGCAAGTCATTCCCCTCTCTGAGCCTTAGTTCCCTCATCTGTAAAATGGGTTGTTATGAGAGCTCCATGGGAGACGTGACCCTGGTATGTGAAGGATGGCCATAATGATAATAATTATCCCACATCTAGTTGTCCACTCAGCAGGGTGGCCCCTGCAGGCTTTCTGCCTGGCTGCTCTCTCACAGTTTGGCCTCCCCAGATTTCTCGGCTGGAGCAGACATGGGTGACCCTGCGGCAGCGGCACACGGAGGGTGCCATCCTGTACGAGAAGAAGCTTAAGCCTTTTCTCAAGAGCCTCAACGAGGGCAAAGGTACTTCCTTGCTGTGTGACTTTGGACAGGTTGCAGCCCTCCTTGGGGTGGCAAAGACTCCCAGCATGGACAGTGACGAGAGCCTGGCTGAGCTCTGTGCAGGCTGCTTGCCCTGAGCTCACTGTCCCTGCTGGCAGCTGCGTCAGCACTGTCCATGTGCGGGCTCAGCCCTTGGGGCTGGGCCAGGGCGGCAGTGGTTTCAGTTGGGGGAACCAGAAAGGAAGCATTTGTCCCAGGAGTAAGGAGCCCCTGGGGCTCTCTCTGGGACCTCAGCCAGGCCCTTCCCTCCTGCACTTGGGCTTCCGGGGCTGCAGTGGGTGGTGGAGGCTCCAGGGTCTCTAAGTGCCTGCTGCCTTTCTCCCTGCAGAAGGCCCGCCTCTGAGCAACACCACATTTCCTCATGTGCTGCCCCTCATCACCCTGCTGGAGTGTGACTCGGCCCCACCTGAGGGCCCTGAGCCCTGGGGCAGCACGGAGCACGGTGTGGAGGTGGTGCTGGCCCACTTGGAGGCTGCTCGCACAGTGGCACACCACGGAGGCCTGTACCACACCAATGCTGAGGTCAAGCTGCAGGGTGAGTGGCCAGTGGCACCTTGGAGGGCCTGCAGGCTGAGGCCTCTCTCACCCTGTCTCACTGCTTCCCTTTCCACCCCTCTGTACTGCTGTCTCCCTAACACCTTCCTCTCCTTCCTCTCATTCCTCTCATGTCCTTTTTTTTTGGGTCTCGCACTGTTGCCCAGGCTGGAGTGCAATGGTGCTATCTCAACTCACTACAACCTCTGCTTCCCAGGATTCAAGGAACCTCTGCTTCCCAGGTTTCCCTCTGCTTCAAGCGATTCTCCAGCCCCAGCCTCCTGAGAAGCTGGGATTAGAGGCATGTACCACCATGCCTGGCTAACTTTTTGTATTTTTAGTAGGGACGGGGTTTCACCATGTTGGCCAGGCTGGTCTTGAACTCCTGACCTCAGGGGATCCGCCCACCTTGGCTTTTCAAAGTGCTGGGATTATAGGTGTGAGCCACCATGCCTCGTGGTGTGGCTTATTTATTTATTTATTTATTTTTGAGATGGAGTTTTGCTCTTGGTGCCTGGGCTGGAGTGCAATGGCAAGATCTTGGCTCACTACAAACCTCTGCCTCCTGGGTGCAAGTGATTCTCCTGCCTCAGCCTCCCAAGTAGCTGGGACTACAGGCATGCGCCACCACATCTGGCTAATTTTGTATTTTTAGTAGAGCCAGGGTTTCATCATGTTGGTCACGCTGGTCTCAAACTCCTGACCTCAGGTGATCTGCCTGCCTCGGCCTCCCAAAGTGCTGGGATTACAGGTGTGAGCCACCATGCCCAGCCTCATGTCTTTTCTTCATTCCTTCACTCATTAGTTCAACAAGTAACTATTAGTGGCAGGCACCAGGTGGGGGTTGGGGCAAACAGATGATTCAAAGAGCACCTTAGCCGTCGTCTTAGCTTTGCTGGGCCTCAGTGTTCTCACCTGTGCAGTGGGCAGCCTGTGGCCTTACTTTACAAGGTTGTTTGTAAGGCTCCCAGTCTGGGGCTCTGGGGTGACAAAGACCCGCCCGGTCTTTAAGGAGGTCTAACTGAAAATTTAAACTCCCCTCTGGCGAAAGGAGAAGAAAGTGGCAGAGACAATCTCTCTTACTGCTTCTGGCATTATGCAAATCATGATAATTTACTGAAGACAGATTGGAAATATAAGCTGAGCAAAAATAAGGTTAAAAAAATTACCCATGGCCAAGCACGGTGGCTCACACCTGTAATCTCAGAACCTTGGGAGGCCAAGGTGGGTGGATCACCTGAGGTCAGGAGTTCAGGACCAGTCTGGCCAACATGGTGAAACCCCGCCTCTACTAAAAATACCAAAAAAAAAAAAAAAAAAAAAAATAGCTGGATATGGTGGCATGTACCTGTACTCTCAGCTACTCGGGAGGCTGAGATAGAAGAATCACTTGAACCCAGGAGGTGGAGGTTGCAGTGAGCTGAGATCACACCACTGTGCTCCAGCCTGGGTGGCAGAGAAAGACTCCGTTTAAAAAAAAAAAAATTGCCCATGATTACTCAGGAGCAAGTGCTTTGAACATCCTGGTATATGTCTTCCCCACCTTTTTCTTCTTCAGAAAATAATAATTATCATAAAAATAGCCGAGGCACAGTGGCTCACGCCTGTAATCCCAGCACTTTGGGAGGCTGAGGCGGATGGATCACCTGAGGTTGAGAGTTTGAGACCAACATGATGAAACTCCGTCTCTACTAAAAATACAAAATCAGCTGGGCGTGATGTTGCATGCCTGTAGTCCCAGCTACTCGGGGTCTAAGACAGGAGAATTGCTTGAACCCTGGAGGTGGAGGTTGTAGTGAGCCCAGATTGTGCCATTGCACTCCAGCCTGGGCAACAAGAGAGAAACTTTGTCTCAAAAAACCAGACAAACAAAAATAAACAAAAAACAGGACAAAGATGCGAAACTACAGGGTCATGTTGATCCACACATTTTGTCGGATCCTTGGCAGAGTTGGTGGGAGGTCCCTAACAGGAGGGACTGAAGAATGCTGGGGCTCCGGACAGGAATCCCAGCCTCTGCCCTGACCCTATGCCCCAACATTGCAGGGTTCCAGGCCCGGCCGGAGCTCTTGGAGGTGTTCAGCACGGAGTTCCAGATGCGCCTCCTCTGGGGCAGTCAGGGTGCCAGCAGCAGCCAGGCCCGGCGCTATGAGAAGTTCAACAAGGTCCTCACTGCCCTGTCGCACAAGCTGGAGCCTGCCGTCCGCTCCAGCGAGCTGTGACCCCAGGCACCTTTCCCCGCTGCAGCTGCGGACAGCGTCAGCGGCAGAGGGGCACAGACCTTTCCCCAGAGCACCCCAAGGACACTGTGATCAACCCGAGAATGTTCTGGGTTCAACTCCAGCATCTCCCTTGCGCCCCCAGGGTCCTGCATGGACTCTGGGTTCCATCCCACCTGCTACACACTCACCAGGTCTCCGTTGAGGAAGAACAGGAACGCCGGTTCCCCCACCAGCTTCTGCTGCACCCCCTTCTGCTGGGGTTCCCCGTTTTCGAGCCATGGGAGGCTGTTCACGCCTCCTCACTCTCCGTCAGTCCCTCACCCACACCAAGGCCTCCATCTTGCTGTAAATAAGTCTGTGTGTGCTGTAAATAGATGTACAGAAGCCGTGTTCTTTCTTTCATATAATAAACTTTTATGACTCTTTATTCTGTCTCTCTGGCTCCTGGGCTGGAAAGAAACACCTTTTATCAGGTGAAAGGTAGAAAACTTCATTCAACAAATGTTGTGGGTGAGTGGTGAGTATCTGGAGCCAGTGGCGTGTAGATAAAGAAAGGCAGATTTATCAGAGACGGTCTGAAAGGACATTGCAAGGTAGCAATGGGCAGATCAGCAGAAGAGGAGCTGACTGCAAAGAGACAAAGGCTTGCTGCGAGTTTTTATAGATGGTGCTTCTGCTGTGTGCTGAAGGGGGCTTTCTGCAGTACTGGTAATGCCAAGGTTGCAGTGGGCTAACCTACAGGTGTCTGGTGAGAAGTTGGGCACAGGAGGGCTGTGTGTCCTGAACCATCCAGAGGGCAGACTTCGAGCTTATCTGCTTTCCCTTTTTCCTTTCCCCTGGTCCTGTCAGCCTGACTCATTTCCCCTAATTAGGATTCTACAAGAAATACTTCTTTAGCACCTGGAACATTCCAGATTGTGTCAGGAGCCGGGGTTACAGCAAATATGAAAACCCAGTCCTTGCTCTCTGGGAGCTCACAGACCAGCGGGAGAGATAAACAGCTAATTCCAACCTAGTGCTCCTACCTCATGCCCTGCCCGGGATGCCATGGTAACAGTTCCCACAAATGCATGACCAGAAATCTGAGGGCTTGGGGTAGACAGGCTTTTTGAAATCTATGATCCCAACTCCCTCTGGTAGTCTGAGACCTGGAAGGAGAAGGGACTTTTCCCAGGTCACAGCAGCAGAATTGGAAAGGCTTAACCTGGCTTCCAGGACCCAGACTTCACTCCTTTTTTCTTCTTAATAGTGGGAACTACTCTTTTTTTTTTTTTTTTTTTTTTTCCTGAGACGGCTTCACTCTTGTTGCCCAGGCTATAGTGCAGTAGTGTGATCTCGGCTCACTGCACCCTCCACCTCCCAGCTTCAAGGGATTCTCCTGCCTCAGCCTCCTGGGTAGCCAGGATTACCAGTGCTTGCCACCACCCCTGGCTAATTTTTGTGTTTTTAGTAGAGACAGGGTTTCGCCATGTTGACCAGGCTGGTCTTGAACTCTTGACCTCAGGTGATCGCCTAACTCGGCCTCCCAAAGTGCTGGGATTATAACCTGACTGGAACTATTTACTTCTTCTCAGGCTTTGATATTTGGCCCCAGAAGTCCTGGAGAGAGAGAGAGAGAGAGAGAGAGTGTGTGTGTAACTACGTGTTGTTGAGGTTGGTGGGGACAGGGAGGGAGTCTTTGTGGTGGGCCATGAAGACTGTTGCCTTGGTTCCCTTTCTGTAGTGGGGGAGGTGGGCAACGTGGATCAAAACGAATCCAGGCCAAGCTGGAGGCCTGGGGAGCCTGTGCGTTGAACCTCAAACGTCTGGAGTCCTTTGCCTTCTGAATCCTTTGACCAAAAGAGGCTGATAGCATGCAGCGAGCACTAGGGCTCCGGTAACAGCCAGACTTGGGGTTAGTTCTATTGTTTAACAGCTGCGTGACATTGGGTAAGAGGCTTAACCTCTTCGGTCCCAAATATGTCCTTATTGAGATGGGGACAACAGAAGCCACCTCCTAGGACTGATGCCAAGCACTGGGCGACAGTTGCTGCTAGGTGAGGGAGAGTCCTGTTTCCTACACAATGAAATGTCGATGATCATTTATTAGTTGCTTTTTTTTTTTTTTTGAGACGGAGTTTCGCTCTTGTTACCCAGGCTGGAGTGCAATGGCGCGATCTCGGCTCACCGCAACCTCCGCCTCCTGGGTTCAGGAAATTCTCCTGCCTCAGCCTCCTGAGTAGCTGGGATTACAGGCACGCGCCACCATGCCCAGCTAATTTTTTGTATTTTTAGTAGAGACGGGGTTTCACCATGTTGACCAGGATGGTTTCGATCTCTTGACCTCGTGATCCACCCGCCTCGGCCTCCCAAAGTGCTGGGATTATAGGCTTGAGCCACCGCGCCCGACCTATTAGTTGCTTTCTGAGCCAAACAATTTGTGTGCCTTTATGTCGTTGAAACACCACCATTTCTCTGGACAGCAGGTACTATTATCATATTATAAGGTATATAGGCCCTTAGCACTAATGGCAGAGTAAGTGCTCACCAAAAGCTGTTAGTGAGGGCACTTCTGTCATAGAAAAAAGCATGGAAAAGGCGCTTTGCAAGGCGTAAGGTTCCGCACAAGTTTTTGTTGTAATTGTTACGTCGCCCTTTGTGGTCATAATCCTGTATTTATTCTTTCTGAGCTACTACGATGGTCCCCTAGTTACCGTGGCCATGGAAACGCGGCCCGCCGTCCCGGATTGGACGGTTCGCGGGCTCCCCCTGGAGGTCACTTTCCGGTTCTGCTGCGGAACTACTGGGCCGGCCTTGGAGGCGGGGAGAGGAGTGTCGGGAGTTGTAGGCGATGGGCGTGGCTGCTGCGGAGCGGTGCACGCCGGAAGTTGTAGTTCCCGGGCGAGGCGGTTGGCTGCCCTACGCCGAGCTCGGGCCTCACCGGGATGGCGGCTGTGACGCGCGGCTGCCGGCCCTGGGGCTCGCTCCTCGGGCTGCTCGGGCTGGTCTCGGCCGCGGCCGCCGCCTGGGACCTGGCTTCTCTGCGCTGCAGCTTGGCCACCTTTTGCGAATGCGACTTCCGGCCCGACTTGCAGGGTGAGGTGCCAGGAAGCCCGGAGCGAGGGGCGGGCGGACTCGGGAGCGCTGGAAGCCCAGCTGGCCCTGGCCGGAGCAGCTGAGGACCCAGAGGGCCGTGGGACCGGGGGGCGGGGCCCGCAGACTTGAGAGGGCGGAGGATACCCGCTGGGGTCCAGGAGCCCCTGCCAATCTGGAGAGAGGTCTTGGGCCTCCCTGGAATGGCCTGGCTGTCAAGGGAGAAACGCGCCGTGGGGATGGCCGGGGTCTGGGGCTGACCCGGTTGACAGCTCGCTTTTATGGCTGAGTGCAATATAGAGGATCGCCTGGTGGGGGCGGGGCCGAGCTGAACCAGGCCTGAAGGTGGCTCTTTTCCGCCACAGACCCCAAGGGCCCCGTGCCATGTGTATAGTCAGCTTGGACAAACGTAAGGACACAGGAGTCCCAGACCAGGTTCCAGACATAACGTTCCCCTTGAACCTCTGCCTTGGTGGGATGTGTCCTCACCATCCTCCTGTGGCCCTAGGTCTGGAGTGTGACCTGGCTCAGCACCTAGCCGGCCAGCATCTGGCCAAGGCGCTGGTGGTGAAGGCGCTGAAGGCCTTTGTGTGGAACCCAGCCCCCACCAAGCCGCTGGTCCTCTCCCTGCACGGCTGGACCGGCACCGGGAAGTCCTATGTCAGCTCCCTGCTGGCGCACTACCTCTTCCAGGGCGGCCTCCGCAGCCCCCGCGTGCACCACTTTTCTCCCGTCATCCACTTTCCCCACCCCAGCCACATCAAGCGCTACAAGGTAGGCTGGATGCGTCCTTGACCGCTCTTCTCCTCACCATGCGGTGACACCCTAGGGAATAAGTCCTGAGCCCAGACATGGGAGCCACCTGCTCCAGGCCACACAGCCAGCTGCAGCCCCAGCCCTCAGGACCCATCCTGCACAGAGCTTGGGAAGGTGCCATTCTACCTAGCAGGGAGCACTTTGATTCCTTGGGGCAGTAAGGAACCCTGGCATTACCTACCTGCCAGGGTTGTTGTGAGGGACATGAGATTATATCACTGCAGATATTAGTTAGAGCACCTATGTTTGTCAGATAATCTGCACTATTTTCCTGCTGGAAATCAGCCCCGATTTGTGGCTCAGAATAAGCATTGGGAAATACTGACTCTTACTACTACTGTTCTTGATTGCAAGGTACCTTCCAGGCTGGTCTGTTTCAGATCATCCTGCTGGGTAGGTTCAGGGAGCAGGAAGGAGCCTTCCCCTTTTACAGAAAGCAGGAGGTGTCATGGAAAGAGCCCCAACAGGGAAGTGGGAGGCTTGGGTTTGAGTGCCTGTTCTCTTGCTGACCAGCTGTGTGACTTTGGGTGAGTCTCTGCCCCTCTCTGGGATACAGTTTCACCATCAGTCTCACTAAGGGGTTGTTGCTCTCTGGGAAACATCTTCCTAGAAAGGAAATTAGTTCTTGGTTTGGGAAGAGGTCTGGGGTTGGGGGAGTTTCTCCAGCCTTCCTGGAACTCCTGTCTCTCCCCTGCAGAAGGATCTTAAGAGCTGGGTCCAAGGGAACCTCACTGCCTGTGGCCGCTCCCTCTTCCTCTTCGATGAGATGGACAAGATGCCCCCAGGTCTGATGGAAGTCCTGCGGCCTTTTCTGGGATCCTCCTGGGTTGTATACGGGACCAACTATCGAAAAGCCATCTTCATCTTCATCAGGTGGGGCCTGGCTTTGCAGGGGGCACGGTGTGGGGCCACTTCTCGGAGGTTCATCTATCTATACAGCCTTGGCCTGTGCTTCCAGCAGAATCCAATTCCCCCTGGGCCCAGCTGAGCCTTCCCAGTGCCCCCAATACTCTCAGAGGTGACACTGTCATTCAGCCTGGTTGATTTCCCCCTGGACACTCTCAGCTCATTCTTGGGCTCAGTCTTTTTTTTTTTTTTTGGAGATGGAGTTTCACTCTTGTTGCCCAGGCTGGAGTGCAGTGATGCGTTCTTAGCTCACCACAACCTCCACCACCAGGGTTCAAGCGATTCTCCTGTCTCAGCCTCCCGAGTAGCTGGGATTACAGGCATGTGCCACCACGCCTAGGTAATTTTGTATTTTTAGTGGAGATGGGGTTTCTCTATGTTGGTAAGGCTAATTTCGAACTTCTGACCTCAGGTGATCCTCCTGTCTTGGCCTCCCAAAGTGCTGGGATTACAGGCGTGAGCCACTGCGCCTGGCCTGGGCTCAGTCTTTTTGATTGCCACTTCTTTGTGGAAGCCCTTCCAGGTCAAGAAAATTTCCTTCTTTTGTGGTGAGGAGGACACAGGCCTGGGAAAAACAGGAGCTGCGTTCTTGTCCTTTAGTCTCAGCTCTCAGAATCCTTGCTGTGTTTCCTC